AAAAAAAAAAATCACCAGATGACTTGAATAGCTCTATTTGGAAAAAAAAAATCAATGATTGGGATGATTTTGTAGGTGAGTAAATCAGCATAGAAAATAAACAAATTACAAACATAAATAGAATAGAATAAAGATACTAATGAAATTAACAGTGCTTTATTATATTTTTCAGGTAAGTCTAACAGTATTCAGGTACAGCAACTGAATAATCAAATGTAAAATGACTCTGCATATAGGGCTGGGCGATATGGACAAAACTTATATCACGATATATTTCTTAATTTCGGTCGATATGATATAATTCCGATATCGATAACACTGTCTGAAATAGAAATCTTTTGTAACATTATAAATGTCTTTATCATCACTTTTGATCAATTTTAAGCATCCTTGCTAAATAAAAGTATTACTTTCTATAATTTCTTAACCAAAAAAAATATAAAAATTATACTGAATGCAATAGTGTATAATGTTAATAAAGCTTTTTATTTCAGATAAATGCTGATCTTTCTATTCATCAAAGAATCCTGAAAAAAAAATGTACTCAACTGTTTTAAATATTGATAATCAGCATATTATACTGATTTCTGAAGATCATGTGACACTGAAGACTGGAGTAATGATGCTGAAAATACAGCTGCGCATCACAGAAATAAATTACAGTTTAACAGATATTCACATAGAAAGCAATTTTAAATAGTACAAATATTTCAAATTTTGTCACTGTTTTTGCTGTACTTTGGATCAAATAAATGCAGCCTTGGTGAGCAGAAGCGAATTCTTAAAAAAAAAAAAAAACATTAAAAATCTTACTGTTCAAAAACTGTTGACTGGTAGTGTAGGCTGATTATTCTTATAGATTGAAACAAATGTGCTTCAGCTAGGATAAAGAGTATGAAGAGTGCTCAGAGTCGCTGCAGAAAACAAAAAAATTAAAAACAACAAAAACTGGAAATGTTGCTGGGGACGGGCTTATTATTGAAAATGCAAACTGATTGTCTGCCAGCAGGAGGCGCTTCTGGAGTGGTAGAACTAGCGGTTTCCCCGGTAACGGCTGTAATCAAAGCAGCTCCGCTCATGAACGCTTCTTTATCAGATCAAATGAAAATGCCATCGAAACTTTTCTGAAGACAGTCGGTTCCCTTCAGAGATACATTCATATAAAACACCCGCGCCGTGTTATGATTGTGAAACGTGCGGTGCTCATGTTTATTCAACGAAGTCAAACGCCACAAATAAATCAATGTATGGGAAACTGGTAATGTATATCGAATTATCAGAAATGTTTAAAAATCATATCACCGTTATTGAATCTTGATACATATTGATATTGAATTATTGTCCAGCCCTAAGTGCATAGTCTTCACTGTATAAATTAAATCTAATAAATCTGTGTTAATTTTTCTCTGTGTTTCGTTGATTGATTAACATTCATGACACAAAAGCCTCCGGAACATTAAACTGCATATTAACATTGAATAATAATAATATTGCATATTAACTGAACATTTTCTTTCTCACTTGTTTACCTTCACCTGAGCCATAAGCAATTGCGTTTACTTGCAGAGACAAGCATTTTGATATAATTTTGCGCATATGTGTATTTCAGGAACAAATAGACGCGGAAGCAAATGTAATTCAGTGTTCATGTGCATCTGCGTGGCTCTCACCGTGTCTACACCGGACCACAAAACACTACAGAACCCATTATAATCAGTGATGCTGTCTACACTGGATGCTGCGCGACGCGACAAATCCCCGAGAGTAAACTGATGCCGCGTTCTGTTTATCTGCGTTCTGCAAAGAAAGCAATCAGTATAAATATAACGATCAGTTTACTAAACATCACACGTCCTGCGATGTGACTATCACAGATCCGCACATCACTATATTGATGCTGAAACGATATATCGTGCAGCCCTAATCCAGAGCCGTCCAGTCTCACTGTTTTCTTGATGCACTGCTTTAAACCCGTGGCCTGAAGCTTTTTAGTGTCCCATTTGCATCAGAAGAGCATGTGCTCTGATCTTTAGGAATGCTTCTCTTTTCTCTTCACAGGACAGACAAGAAATTCAGCTTCAATGCGACGCCGTCCCAACCACAGGTACACACACACACTCTCTCTCTCTCACACACACTCTCACACACCAACACACACACACACACACTGTCTCACACACACTCTCTCACACACACACACACCCTCACTGCTGGAGGAGTTTACAGCCGGACAGGAGTGTGTGTGTGTGTGTGACATCCTGTTTCTGAAGGATCTAAATAACAGATACAGCTGAAGTAAAGCTGGAGGCGTGTTCATGGAATCATCATTAAGATGTGTGTAGTTTACTATAATGACAGAAGAATCATGATAAATGTGAATGCAGGGCCAGACACAGCAGCCACAGATACAAACTACTTACAGGCACAGTTCACCCAAATCTGTGAGAGAATTTTTTTTTTAATTGGAAAAAAAGGAAAACTTCCACTGTATTGCCAGAAAACACAGAGATATTCTTCTAAATGTTGTGTCCCACTGAAGAAAGAAAGGATGATGACAGGATGATAATTTTTTGTATGAACTATTGGTTTGAACTTGAGGTAATCACAGGACCGCTGACCTATGGTTTCAGGGCAGATTTTGACCAGTAGGGGTCGCTGTCACCCTCAGAACATTATCATAATATCAACCACTTGGATTCATTTCAAAAGCACCAGCATTGCCAAGAAACAGCTTAGACAACAGTTTGTTTCAGTACATCGTGACACCGCTAATTATCATAGCTATAGCTATAATGATAATTATAATATCATAATAATTAACTATATCATAGCTAATTATAAACACTGAACACTAACCAATACACAAAACCTAAAAGAAAACATTCTGCGTTTTTTCCATTTTAAAACACTTAATTTACTTTCTTTTTATATTGTTTGTTTTTTGTTTTTTTGTTTTACAAATGAGGGCATCTCCAAAAGGAGGTTTTGTCAGGTTTAGCTCACTTCTTGCCCCCAAAATATAGATTTATACACACAGACTCCTGCAGTGATGGAGTCAGTGTAATGACTTTGAGTGTGTGTGCGTGCAGTTCTTTAGGTACGTGTTTCCGGAAGGTGTGGACACAGTGATTGTGAAGGTGAACTCACAGAAGAACTTCCCCTGCTCAGTCATGTCAATACAGGACATCCAGGTGAGAAACACACACACACACATATGTCAGAGTCAGTCAGATGTGCATACGGTGATATCTGTCTGTCTCTCTCGGTCTGTCCAGTGTCCGGTTTATGATCTGGATAATAATGTGGCGTTTATTGGAATGTATCAGACTATGACCACCACAGCCGCCATCACAGTGCAGGTAACACACACACACACACACACACCTCATCACAAGAGCTTTCCACTGACTAAATGTTTTTAAACGAAGCTAATGACATTTTATGTCGCCTAACCATCACTGAAACTGTTTTTCATGTATGTAATATTGTAGTCAGGCATTGAGGTCATGTGACTAAAATGTTTGCCGCTTTTTGACTAAAATGTTTGCAGTGGCTTTTATCTCGCATTCAGTGTCTATTTGCATTTTTAATTAAACATGGTTGAAATATGTTTATGTATCTGTTTGATTGACGGGGAAGGGCGCACCAGCACACAGAATCAGTGCACTGCTGTTATTATTATTATTGTGTGAGGATGTGTGTTCCATGTGTTTCAGAGGAAGGATTTCCCCAGTAACAGTTTCTATGTGGTGGTGGTGGTGAAGACTGAAGACGAGGCGTGTGGAGGACCGCTGCGATTCTACCCGCTCTTACCTGGTTAGTGCAGCCAATCAGAGCACAGTGTTACTGTACTGCAGCCAATCAGAGCACAGTGTTACTGTATTGCAGCCAGTCAGAGCACA